ATTAAAGATAGACGCGTGAAAGTAGAGTATCGTTCTGACTTCTGTTTGGCAATGTGTTTTTATCTGAGAACCACCGCACAATCACATCTGATTTGGTTCTATCCAGCCAGCCAAGACGAGAAGGATATAGTACGCGTTCGTTGCATCGAAACCTTAATTGAGGTAATGGTAACCAGATAACGATAATGTCATTTCATCCACCAATAACACTTAGGAAGAACACAAGCAGACATTAGATTCTGTTCTTTTGCAAATGATGATCAGTGATTTTCCCATCCGTAAGTTTCAGCATTTAATAATGAAAATCAACGCCGATTCGCTTTCCGTCACTGCCAATGTAGCATCCAAAAATTTTCTCCCAGACGAAAGACAAGAGACTATCTCGACCGAATAAGCATGCTGGCGTGAAGGTCAGACCGCTGATGCGTAGGGTATTACTAAAGACGCAAGATATTAGAGATTTCAAGGCATTTTTTAGAAAACTTTTCCAAATGCTTGAATGTCATGCAAATATTTGACACCCTATTTAATGATGTGTCCAAATTGCACTGCCATTTCACTGAACCGCATAGCATCTTGAAGGCATACAAACAACCTTGGCTTGGCTGCACATCAATAACATTCGTTCTCGTATGTCGCTGGCTTATGTCACTCTCGCAGCATAGAAATTACGAAGCCGACTTTTCTTGAACAAATCCATTAAAACTCCGGCTGCATCGGACATTTGCATTTTTCAATCTTGATGGCAAATAGAAGTCCAATGCAACAAAGACAAAACTTTATCCCACCTAGGAGGAATGCGTACTGCCGATGCACAGAAGGAGAGGAGCTTGGAGCAAAGACCTGAAGGTCATACCAACAATCATGTAATTTCGTCTTCAACGTAATTTAACCTGCCGATAAACCTAATTTTTTCATAACTAATTGGAGTTACATTGGCAATGATAGCAAAGAAGTGGGCGCGGAAATAATAGGTTTGATAAGTGCCCTAAATGAAAATAAACTACGACAATAAAGACATGTATTGATGATGATAAAAGCATTCCCTAAATGGGAGCGAGATAGTTAACTACGAAGCAGGCATCGGTTTGCTCAAACTGATAGTTCCGGGGGACGCGAAGATTGGTCCAACTATAACTTATGCCGCAGGCCCATTCATCCCAGTAGTGCTATTGGCCTCCACATACATAATTCATTCCATCTTCTATCTACTGAGTTATTTGTGTGGGTGGATCTTAAAGGAACTTCAGTAAATTTGAGGGCTGGGAAATTTCAATCATCAGCGCAAACATTTAAGGAAAATCTAAATTAAACTGCATCACCTTAGTCCAACTACAAAGAAGAACTCAGTTTACAGTAATGCTAAAACTAGCCAAGCTGGAAGTGGTTTCTCCTTCTCCATCACGTTACAGTGTGGGTGTGAGTACCCCCAAACTCAGTGAATACCTAGATTGTCTCAACCTGGCTAGAAAATTTGGGAATAGCCTCATTTTATATAACAAGAATGAGGAACTGATTGGGTGGCTCCGACAGTCTGTGACTATTCATGACTCCCGACCAAGTATTAACAATTAAGCATTTGCGTATAAGGAGTTGGAAGGGATTTCAGTCGGTAGCACAATTAGAAAGTGTTGGAAAATTTCGATTCTGTGGAAGCATGCGCATCCCTGCTACCGGAAAGCATGCAAACATAACTTCGGTGATCTTAGCAAGTCTAGGCTGTGAAAGTGTTTTCAAGTATTTAGAAGTTTGAATGCCTTTTCTTTCAAACGCACATCTTGATAGAAAAAGAAACTGAACAAAACGTTTATGGGGTCTGAAAATCATGAAACGAAACCAGTGTTCCTTAATTTCGTAGCAATTTAAATGACATTTCGTTGACACTAATGACATTGCCAGTTGGGGTCAGGTTAAGCTGCAACGGCGTATGAACCGCAAAGCCTCACATAGTGGAATCCAAAACTAGCATCGTTCTGCTGGATTGAAACACCAACTCAACGTGAATTTAAACTCGACTGTGAAGTTGATGCAGAGTATTTCTCTATGCGATGTAATCGTACACCCCCATAACTAGCAATAATATGTAGTTCAATTCACAGCATTGGCAACACTTTCTCATGTATTTGTGAAAATTTTGTAACGAGTTAAACTATAGCGAATTCAAACTGAACTAATAGAACAACAAAAAGCAGATTATCAATACCCCGTGTACTAACAATAATTTCGACTCCAGCACAATGAACACGACGCGATTGGTGCACATTATAATGAATATAAAACAGAAACGTCTTCAATTTAAACAATTTGGGAAAGAGGAAACAGTCGAAAAGGAAGGAGCATACCACCTGGGCAGACCCTACGAAAACGGGTGGGCCGATAGCAAGAGAAGTATAAATGCTATTTCACGTCGGATGCGAGTTGAAGCAGCTGGCCGCATAGCTAAGACTGACCTGTTGAAGCGAGAAAGTGGCGAAAGTCCCTTAACACCTCTGGTCTATCAGTGCTCGTAACACCCTCAATCACAACGTCATCCTCATCATCGGAGCCTCCACGCCATTCGCTCGTATTTCCTCCACAGACAAACATGGGATTGAACGATGAGGCTCCAGTCAGAAGTAAGTCCATGGCCGTGGAACGAATCCACTTGGAGGGAAACCCGCTATCTAAGACCATCATATGTTTTACTAGAAAAAGCACTTTATCCAATAGTGTTGCTAGGTGGGGTAACGTGCTAAAATCTGTCTTCAGCAAACTCTGGTCATCCTTTGGAGGAGCATGTAGAGAAGAAGTTGACGCCCAAGCAGTGGGAAGGACATAAGTGTCCGAGTACTGAAAGAGAAGATTGAAGTAGGGCAGAGTCTGACCAAGTTTTGAGAGAAAGGCATCAAGGAGACAATTCCATTCAGTCTTTCGAGGTGAAAGTTGCAGCGAATGGAGGGAGGTACTGAGAGCGACGTCGGTAGCGACGACCTGTGTCGGTGATGGTGGTTCCGATTTCGCCCCCCCAACCGTTACAGAATCAAGGTGAACCCGAAGTACGGCCTCTGCAAGCATGCACAAGTCAATGCAGGGCCTGAGGGGCGGGAGGGTCACCTGGCCGTCCTCCGTTTTGTATAGCTCCGTTATACACATCACTGTTAAGTGTAGCAGTTCTACCAGAAGGACCGGGCGTCTGTTAGCAACAACCGAGTCCCCAGACTCTGAGGTCTCGACTGGTTTTATACCGGCCATTTCTGGAAGAATGTCCCCGCCGATGAGGCACAAAGTGTGCTCATGGATTTTGTCGAAAATTCCACATTCGAGAAGACTATACACTGAGGGTGGCGTAGTAGTTTGAAGACGCTTGAGAAGTCGAAATAACAAGGTAGCATTCCCAGAACGACTAACAGAGGAGTCCACTAGGATCCTTCCGACATGAGAGGGAATTGTGGATAGCAGTTGAGTTTGAATAATTTGTTCCAACTAAAAAAGAGATAAGTCAAATGGTCCTGGTTCTGGTAATTTGGGATGGTGAAGTGCCTAATGCTATATAGGAAATTTGTACCTCCAAGATTCCCAAATGTAATTTAACAAGGAATTAACACATGCACTTGGCATGATTTTAAATTTATAACTATTTATGGAGCATAAACTTGCACTGCCGGGCTAGTAGTAATTGTGCGTCCACAATACCTTTGAACAAGCAGGTTCTGACACGTCCTCATTGAAATCGAGAGCTTGAGAGACAATAGCATTAAGTATCTCCTCTGATTCCTTTTCTGCTGAAGTGGAGGGCACGTATTCCCCGGCGTTAGCATCTAACTCGTATTTTCCACCACTCATTGCTAAAAAGTAGATGATGTAATGCGTCGAACAGAAAAAAACGAGCATGTTTAAAAAGAAAATATGATTCAAGACTTTATTGATCGAGTACAGATCAGAGACAATGCCACATAGGAAAGGCATAAGAAGAATGAAGCTTATCTAAAGTCTTCTGTTGAGAACATCCCTTTCGCCCTTTTCAAGATTGAGTCCTTGCTGGCATCATACGGTTTGTCTTTACTTGGTATTTCCAGAATTGCAGGGATTGGATCTGTGTGTGCATCAATAAGGTACCTGATCATTTCCGCAACGTTTTGGACAATTAGAATTATAGCGATATCATCTCGAGTAAGAAATGATGTAAAGGCATTCTCAATGTCGCTTAAGGGCGTGTCTTTATCCACAGCGAGGAAATTCGGACGACGATTCTTGTCAAGCTCACCTATACCTCCCAAAAGAAAGCCTGTGCAAGTGTCTTCATCGCCTATAACGGCAATCAAACGGCCTCTGGAACTGGCAACAGTCATTCCGATACAAGGAGTCAAAGAACGCAGATCATGACCAATTACTTATTAATACAGGCCCTCGAGATTTAGATATCTACACATAATAAAATGAGGTAAATAGTTCAGTCGAATGAATAACCCTTCCCTTTTAATTTGATCGCTACCTAAAATGCATAGAATACGCAATGACCAGTTGACTTTAAGAAGATTATTATGGTATACCCTGTCGCTATATCCCTTAAATGATGCTGTTCAAACTTACATTGTGAGCGTTCCGTGCCGAATTTGCTCCTAGCATATTCTACTAATTCTTGTTTGCGCAGAAATCTTAAAAAGAATTATGCATGTCGTTATTTACTAGTGATGTGCTGCATTTTGATTAAACTTGGAAATTTATACATAAAAGCACTATTTTAAAATACAATTAGTCATAATCACTTTATCTTAGTGCCCTTAAATTTTTCTACAGTCGCATCGTCATACTCTTTAATTAATTGTTAAAGGCGCTTATTATAGATGACTTTTCAGATGTGCGGCGCCAAGTATGCGAGGATGCTGTCGACTGCCGTGGCGCCTTGTTTGGTTGTCGCCGGGCTTCCGCCAGCGTTTTTGTAGCTGTCCTTGTAAGTAGGTTTTCGTTACAACGCGTGTTCCACTTATCGAGCATCCATCACTCATGACCAGCCTTGTGGATTCATTGAAGTTGCCTCAATTACCAGCTCAAAGTCCCCAGGACAGGTCCCGTTTCTTGAGTGAAAGATCCTCACTTTTTATGAAAATGCAAAACGATGGTGCGTTTTGCAATTGTCTGATCGACGTTGATGGTACGATTTTCAAAGTTCATTTGGAAATCTTGTGCGCATCTTCCGAATATTTCGATAACATAATTAGACGTGACTCCGTTGTTGAAGATGCGGTTTCTCTCCACAATATCACCCCCAGTACCTTCTCAACATTGCTTACCCACCTTTACACTGGACGCATGGTGGTTAACTTGTCCAACCTTTTTGATGTCTATGTGGCTGCGGATTTCCTCATTTTGAACTCTGCTCTTGACTATTGTCGAAAAGTTTTGTGCGAAAATCTTCGGAACGAAAAGTCTTCTGAGGCATTCGACGTGGCTTTAGAAATTCTAAGCCGTTACGATGACGCAGCACTCTTTGAAAGTTTTGTATCGCGTCGAAATCTTTTGAAGAGAAAAGGTATTTTTTGTTCTAAAAACTGAACGAAAAGTATAGATGCCTTACAACGGCTTGGAGTTAACTACTTCTTTAAATACCTACATGTTAAGAAACACTTTTCATTGGTTGATGGTCGAATTGTATTAATGGGTCGGTATTTCATTGCAAAACTTCAGAAGGTAATGCATTTTGACTGGCACTAATTCCTTTTAATCTAGATTCTTCTTGAAACTTTTCCTGAAGAAAGGCGACTAGTTACAAAAAAAGACTGTGAGAATCTAACTTTCCTGAGTAAATGGCCACGTATGTCTTAATATAGCCTATTTAGATCCCACCAAAGTGATTCATTCAAGCCGTACTATTGCGACAATGCCCACTTTTGAGGAATCGTTAGTCATCTTCAGTTTTGCTATCTAAATTCACCCTAATAGCATTCCTTGATCTGAGTATGCACCTTACATTAATCCCTTCACCTCATTAACAATCGATAAAACCGCTTCACTACATCGTTCATTGTCACTTTTCATTCTTGCTTTTTGTGATTAGAGTGGATCATGTGGATGAGACGACTTATGTGA